ATTTTGATTTCCATATCTTGAAGCATATTGCACTTAAGTTGCTTAGATCACAGTCCAGTTAGAATCACATCCAAATACCTTTGCTCCAATTCTGTAAGTTGCACTTTTGAAGGTTAGAGGACTATTGCTATTTCTCTTTATATTTCAGCAATATTTAATATGAAACCCTGTATATGTATATAAGGTAGCATCAATAAGTAAATAAACAGAATACTGAAAATAAATCATCACACTGGTCTTGTGATTGAGACTAAAAATGGAAGCATCTGAAGCATCACTAACATACACTTTTTAGTCTAAATATTTAAGGACTTTACAACTCCTTGAAAAATGAAATGTCAGAGAATTAAAGAACAATGTCAAATATATCTTTTAAATTCCTCATTAAGTCTTCCCAGTCATATTTCAAAAGATTCTAAATATTTATGACTTTCTAAACTATTGGACATGAATTAATCATTTGATACAGAATGATTTCCACAAGTTGCTTTGGGAGTGCAGTGACAGATAAAAAAAGAAAAGCTTAACAGAAGTTTCCTTTCATCCATGAATGAGTTAATAAAGGAGGAATGCAGATATCTAATTGCACAATTTGCAGTCATTTCTGAAGGGGGCGAAGGGGTGTGTGTAGCAGAGAGGGGAAAACACAGAAGACAGAAAACCTGCAGAGAAAAATGCAAGGAATTGACATATTTTGGTGTAGACTAAGCATGGGTGTAAATCCTGTCTCTTCCTCTCTCAACAAGAAGGATCTGAGCTATTCCCGTGCCAGGAATTGACTGCAACTATCTCATGTGCAACACAGCCTCCTTCTCCGCAATGTTCTTCTCTGAAGTGCCTCCTGGTTGCCTAAGCAAGTCTCGCTAAAGAACTAGAACTTCCAGGAGGCCTCACACTGTCAGGAGGCTGAGGCTGAGTGCTGCCAAGAGGCACAGCAGATGAACTTGAGGGACGAGCACCAACTGAACAACACCGTCACCAATGTCTGCTCATGTCTAATGCAGACATGGCTCCATTCAAATGAAATAGTATTGGCAATTGAAAACCAGAAATGACAGCAAGGGGTGGGGAAGAAAAAAAATAGTATCTATGTATGGTGCAAATATTCTGGTTATGGTGGACCAGGAGTGGAGTCGAGCAACATTTAAGGTTTATCATCATTAACACAGGAGCGGAGCTGGACACCGGGCAGAACAGAGGCCTGCACAAAAGCCTGGCCAGAAGCATGCAGCGAAGAACCTGTTGCAGGTCTGTAATAGATATACAAAAGGATGTATTTCTCAGAAATTATTCAAACCTGGGAAAGTTGAAAACAAACATCACAAAATGCAGGTAAGTTTTCTAGCCATCTGAAATGAAACAATGCACCAATTCGGTATATATGCTATGCAAACCTACATGCAACTAAACTCGTATCATCTTCTTCTCTAAGTTTCTAAGAAAACTCTGTTTTCATCTGTATTTAAAAAAAACAACTTCCTTTTCAATTAGATATGAATGCATTTATACAGCTTTCATCAGAACAATCTGCAGGCAACAGTACAGCCTTCAGTTGGTGCTTCATCAAGGTGCCTCCCCCCCGGTTTATTTAATTTAGCCATTCCAGTGGCTAAAAAGATGATTTTGTCATATAAATGACATTATAACATCCACTGAGGCATTCCAGAGAAGTGGGAACGCTTGATTTTCACTTTGACCAAACCAACTCTTTACTGCAGTAGCCAACAGTGATGCTTCTCAGATGGCAAGATCTGTGAAGAAAATTTACAAAGAGGTAATATAGAACTCAAGTTGACAAAATTACACTTCTATAACTCTGATACTTCCCCCACACTGAAGTGATTGAGGGATAGTGTGTACTGCGCTGTTAAAGAGAAAACGCGGAAAGTTAAAAAAACCAACCACCAAACCTCTTTCAAGATAACGCTTCAGCTCCAACACAGGCTTGCATCAGTAACTGATGCTGATGATTAACAGATGGTTCCAATAGATGCATTGTCAATTTTTTTTTCCCCAGAAGTTTTAATTCTCTTCTTCAAATTCAGAGATGTGACATGAAGATCTGCACATCGCATATACCCACAAGTAGACCACCGAAGTTAAAGGATTAATCTATCTTTTACTATACTTTGGTGTTTTTACTCCGGAACTTTTTTTTTTTTTCCCCATTTATGATGCAGACATACTGCCAATAGCTCCATCTCCATAAAGCAGTAATAATTCCAGCCACCTTTCAACAAGGAAAAAAACAGCTCAAGTGTCAATGATGAAGGAAAGCAAGCTTCATCTGTACAATCAGAAAGAGTGAACACTGGCTGTGTTTAATCCAATGGACATTTTGGAAAAGACTTCAAATACAGTTAAATTAATGCCCAGAGAGCCTTTGAGATTTCTAAAATAAAACAGAAGTTAATAAAACGTAGTTGAACTTAAGGAAAACTGAGTCCAAATGCTCATTAGCCCAATACAGTATTGTCCTCTCTTGATTTCTGCTTTTTGTATGTTTTCATGTGCTCTACTCTCCCAGTACTGTCAGGGGTGACAATGAGGAGGTGGTCAGACAAGGAAGCAGAATTACCATAACTGTATTGATCTTGATTACATAATATATAGTTTTCCGAAGAAGAAAATATATCAAAAGTCAATTGCAAATGAATACAGCATGGAATCTTACCAAAAGTTTCCTTTAAACAAGAAAAATAAAGAACAAGTGAAAACTACTTTGCTGGAAATTCTATGGTATGACCTGAACACACTTTAAGTCAAGTATTTCTATTAATTTCTGGCAGTAGCTTTCTCTTTTTGACCCCAAAGTAGCTATATCCTAAAGATACAAATGCTTTTTTAAATTTTTTTTAACCAAATATAAATTGATTCACTGTTCACCGAGGGCCCAATTCCCAGCTCAAGCCTGGTAAGCACTAGCTATTCATGGAATGTAATGGCCGGTGACATATAGGGATCAGACCATGATCTCATGGTCTCTTCTGGTCTTAAACTCAAGGACTCTTATTACACAGTTGTCCAGCTAATGTCCTTGGAAGTGAACTCTATTTCCATTTTAATGTGGAACTGTAAGACATACACACATCTGACTGAAAGTTGGAAGGTAACAGAAGAGAACACTCATGATAATAAAAAGCAGCTGCATGAAGCCAGATTTAAAGTAACAGCGCACACACTTAAAATAATGTGCCAGATAATACTTTCATAAAATTAGTAAAGAAAAGAATTGGCGTGTTTACAGGGCAGCAGAACTTTTTAGGGTTAACCGTGCTTCCACCCAGAGAGCGTGCGAGCGAGCAAGAGAGAGCGAGCGCGCAGGCATATACACACGCTATGGCACATACAGCTACAAGATTGTAGCGTGAAGGGTCGTTTGCAAGATCCGCACAATCCCGATACAGCTACAAGACGCACACATTATAGTACCGGAGCAGAGTCAATTAACCTTCTCTGGCTCTTTTCCAGCCAAACCCCCACGCATTTACTTCCCTGCTTTTCAAGCACTGGAGCTGGATACACTGGAATGAGTCAATCAGCAAACCCGGGCAGCCGCCGACTGCAAGCTTTGCTAATGAACAAAGAGAAAACTGCACAAGGACTCTGCTAATCACTTAAGTAAAATCATCGAAAGGATGGAAGAGAAAGGACAGCAGAAAAAAGAACACAACATTATTTCTATCTTTTTTAAATGTGGCAAGAAAAATTCTTCTCCTCCATTCAAGAGCTGGAGAAAATACCTGGGTAAGAAATACAGTTTTCCCAAAGTAGAAATTCTTAATCTTGGTGTTAAAAGAAATATAAGTGCTAAACAAAAGCACACAAAGAGACAAGCTTTAGAAAAATTATAAAAACCAAAACCAAATGAAAAACTTGTTATCCCGAAAGCAGTGAAAAATCTTATCTTAAAATCCACCAGGTGATGAAAAAGAAAATTACAAAGGATCTTCCTGGATGCAAAGTGAACTCTACTAAAATGCAAGAGAAAAAGGTAAGGCTTTCTTCACCTGAAAATTGCAACAGATCAAATCTTCTCAGTAACCGCTTAACGCTGTGACAGCTGTTTTAGTCTCTGCTTGAAGGGGGAAATGTAAGCGTTAAAGACTTCAGCAGAGTTGAGAGAGACAGAGAAAGAGAGGGAGAGAAAAGGCTGTGCTTAATAAAAGCCCTGCTCAGATTACAAAAACAAGCAGTTTACTCACCCCCCCCCTCCAAGTAATGGGTAAATTTAGATGGCTCAGTTCCATAAATCTTTACGTTCCCCTTGAGACTGTCACAAGTGTTTTATTGTCTACAGCTTCCCGACTTTCACCTGATAAATTAGGAACTGTAGACATTGAAACGGAAACCTCATACATCATTTCTGGAGATATTTTTGGGGTGACCCTCTGTGGAGAAATAGGATTCTTAATAAGGGGAAATATGGGAACTGCCGTCTGCCTACGCACACGCTGCTGGAGACTAGACACTCAGGAGAGGAGGAGTTGCATACACACAACGCGAGCATCTGCCTTTGCATCAGTCTGTACTTACAAAGAGCAAACCTACGTACACTGTATCTAAAGGGAACCACCCGGCATCCAAATTCATCTAGCACTTTTTACTGCTGCAGAAACAAAAAAACAACCAAAAAAAAGGAAGCTCATGCACGGCTTACTTTTCACAGCTATTGAACTGTCTCCTATAATCTTCTGAAACCTGAACCCCGCTATAAAGGGGAGAGCAGACCACTGAACCCTAGCTACCAGAGATGGACACAAGACAGGACTTTCATTTTTAAGGCTTAATTGCGCCCAGCCAGGCACAGGATAAAAAATTTGGATACCACCTCGGACATGGTTACTGTATCTCAAAATAGCAGATGACCAGTCTACCATACTGACCATGCTGGCCTTTCTTCAGGACCATCCTGGACCAGAGAGGAACAGCGAACTCATACACCATACGCAATTCCTGTGCAAAATACAGCTCCTGAATACATTCTGCTGGACACAAAAATGTCCTACCCTTTGCATTTCTTGAACGGGTCTGGAGTTAGCAATGGATCTTTGTCGCCTCTCTCAGTAACAGGAGAACCCAAGCAGGACTACCCAAGTGACCAAGAAGGAAACAAAGTGCGCTGGGCAGCTTTACTGATCCTCCTGGTGATAATCCCCACCATTGGGGGGAACATACTTGTCATACTGGCGGTGTCTCTGGAGAAAAAGTTGCAATATGCCACCAACTACTTTTTGACATCCTTGGCGGTGGCAGATTTGCTCGTGGGTCTGTTTGTGATGCCGATTGCCCTTCTCATAATATTATTCGGTAAGTACAGCACGTTTCTTTCATCAGGCTAGCATACGGGGTACAATTTGGGGGGGGGGGGGGGAATTTAAACAGAAAAACTGTTTGCTTTCCACCATTACAATTTTAAAAATCACTTGGATGAGGGCTGCTAATTCTTCTCTCCCTCTCACCTTTATACAACTTAATGTATTTATGGGAAGTATACCCACTGTGGGTGTTGTTTCCTTTGAACCAAACTATTCAAAAATCACCTGAGACTCAGAACCGATACTAAATTGGAGCTGGACATGGGAAATTACATTTTGTGCAGTGGAGTATTATTTTTAACATCAGCACAGTGTTAGTATCTGTTCTATTGGAAATTACACTAATTGCAGGCAGTCTTCTCTTAAAAAATGTGGACTGAAGAGTAGGTATCTGTTCTGTACAGTGAATAGGTTTTAAACTTTCTAGGAGTGAGGCACCTGATTTTACCTTAGTATTGACTCCAAGCTCCATGGTGACTCTGTATTGACTCTGGCACCATCAGTGACAACAAACTTCACCAGTATCAGTTTCAGAGAAACTGATTGTCTCCCACCCTGGGGAAGGCAGCAAGTTTGTAAAGCATCCCAAAGAATCAACTCATCTGTCAAGCCAAGGAAGCCTCAATCCATGTACCTAATGTTTGAGACTCAGATTTATTATTTAGTCTGGTTTATATGGAATAAAATAGGTATTTTTGACATGAACATACATTGGGTGTGACATTTTCTTTCTGGTAGTCATTACTGAACAAGCATGACTTTTTCATATTCTCTCATGCCCAGCTTTATTTCAGATACTGCTTTTGACAACTAATCAGTGGCAGCTCCATAGGAAAGTATCTCTCCTAAAGTTTCTTTAAGAATACATTTTAAATGGTCTATTTTTGTATCATACAAATGGAAAAAAAAAAATCAGCATGAGATGGGTTTTTCAATAAACTTACGGATTTACGCAGTTATCTGTAAGGTATAGATACCACTGGACCCTAGATAATGAAAGGCTGCAGGAGTTCATTTTTCCTGTGCTAGATCTCTACGAGTTGCCTGAGCAACAAGCAAACACAATCATAAACTTTATTTCAGAAAGGCCATCAGTAGCTTTTGTTTGCTGCAGAAGACTGGTATCACTTTATTAACAAATGTGTTTATTCGCTAAATGCCTTGAGACTGAATTCCTGTGTATTACAGACTGCTTCTCCCTAAACAGAGGTACGAATTGGAGATCAGAATTCAGTGTTGTTATCATAAAATAGTCTTTTCTAAAACAGTTTCTAAAAAGAAAAATGAACGTACATGACCACAGTCACAAAAAACCTTGGTAGCTCATGTATGTGCACATATGTATGTAGAGGCAAGAAACAGGTATGTATATACATACTTACACATGGATGACTAACTGCTAAGTTACTAAAGGCCTCATTATTAAAAATAAAACCACTAACCATAAAAAATACTAGTATTGAACCAGTAATCATTACAAAGGGAAGGCAAGTGGTGGAGTTTTTTTGATTTTTTTATTATTTTCATTTTGCCAGACGAATAAATCTTTTCTTTTTAACTTTATAAAGAGACTACTGCTCCTTAATCTCTCAATTAATCCACTGCTAAACCCTGGTTACAACAGTTCAAAGCATGCTAGGAATCTTAATTTAAAAGTCAAACAAAAGCATCTTTCACATTGCAGGAAATTTACAAGAACGTAGCAAAATATAAATTATAGAGTTATAATTGACTAAGTAAGATTGCGACCAGCCTTTCACATAGCAGTTGTTAAAACTGAAATTTCTTGCACATAAATCTCACTTTGGCAACCAACCAGAAAAACTGCTTTGCTTCTTCACCGACTGGTAGAAGATGCTGAGGTGTTTATAGAAGTTCAAACCATGAGCAAAACATGAGGAGGTAACGGGAATGAAGCAAGAACAGACATTTAAATACACAAGTAGTCTAAATCTTGAAGCTACATTAGCCAGATAACTACTTGAACATAGAATAATCATTGATAGCCACAGAGCAAATTAAATCCAGCCTCCTGGCAATTCCACACAGGAATGTTTCCATAATAATGAAATAGCTGGGTGCAGCTTCTAGATACAGAATACAAATATTATGCTTCTGATTTGGGACTGATATCTAATTAGGTGGAGAGTATTTGAGGGAAGAGGTGTGAACTAAAATGCAGTCACATTAAATGACCCTGACTGTAAAAATTAATGTGTCACAGAGCGTTCAAAATCTACTACAGATATGGGCTCCATGCCCTGAGGGCACGCTCACAGAAAAAAACTTCAGAAATAAGACTGTCTCTGTGATTAAAAGTTGTCCCTTTTAAAAATAAATAAATCTGTAACTCACTCACAGGTATAATACCACGAGTAGCAGGTTATTTGTTCTCAGCAGAGCGATCAAAATGTACTCTGGTACGAATATACACTGCGATTTTAATTTACGAGTGTGAGTGTCAGAATATACAAACAGTTCATCGCTTTTATTGCTTGCTAAATTCTTCTCATTTCTTCCAAAAAAAGGAGGGCACGCTAGGAAATAATGGCATTCTCTGAAATCTAGCTTTCAAAAGAGTTATCCAAATTTCTAACACTCAGAACTACTGAAAGAAAGCAAAGATACTGCTATTCATTGGCTAGTGAAATTAGCAAATAACCTTAAGAGAGATCCTCTCATTTGCAAAGCCTGCAGCAGGAAGAAGTCTGTTGTCCACGGCTTGGTGGGCTGTGGGTTACTTGCAGACAGCGCATGCACCATCTATCGAAATATATTCTCTGTTCCTCATATTCACACACTTAAAAATCAAAGGGTAATGCCGATCATCCTAGGCTGCAAACCAAATTTTTTAAATTATGTCACACGCAATCGCCATCTTCATCTTCCCCCGTTACTGATGACGAACCAGGGAAAAGCCTTCCTTCTTGCTTGTGAAAACTACTGGAGAAAACTGCTTTAATTGATGGCTACTTTCCAAAATCTCAACTCTACAGATAAGAAAGCAAAAGTTTATTCCTCACAAAGCAACTCTAATTAAAAAAAAAAAAAAAAAATTACTTTGGCTAAATTAAAAAAACCTACATGACAGTGAACAACTACTGTTGAAACTATAATTGTAGCTGAGAAATAACGGCAGGCAGCCACGGGGGAGAGACAGCGAGACCGCAGCCTGGGAATGCCAAGCCTGGGCCGTCCACGAAGCGGGTGAACACCGCGCACACAGGCTACAGACACACGGACACCCATTTGAAGACTGAAGCCTAGGCTTAAGTCAGCTAGTGATTAAAAATATCCAATTTCCATCTCAGTAAAAGCATCATTATCTAACAGCAACAAAATCCTTTACAGGCAACACATTTCAGCGGCCCTTATAGCAGCAGAACAAACGGTTTCCAAGTCTATTTAAAGATGTCTCTCAATCATGCTTATACATGTACACAAGCAGTGCTTTCTCCCCAGCTTTCAAAAAACCTTTTGGATTATAGCAAGAGCAGCTCTTCTATACTGTACTTTGTTTTAAGGAATACACATTTCCAAGGTATTTTCTATAAATAAAGCTTTCCTTAAATAAAGATTTATCAAGGGTAGACAGCTGTGGTAAAAGCTCATCTTACTTCTCTTAATGTGCAAGACAAATCTTAAAACGTGTATTTTAGCTTGTATTGACTCAAAAATACGGAAAACGGTCTGCAACAGCAGCACGGCTGCAGTTGGGAGTATCTGAGGCAAGGTTTGTAGGAAGGAGGAATATCTTCTTATCTTATACCACCTGACAGCTGAAGAAACCAGACAAGTTTTCAGGCAGGCATGTTTGTCATGTAACCTAGGCATTTAAACAAAAATTTAAAAATCCAATCCATTAGCTTGTTTAAATTTGCATTTTAACTCTCAATGAAAAAGAAGGTGGAAAATCTCAGTCAGTCCTGTAAGTGTTTTGGTCTGCTTCAGCAGTGTGGAGCTACACTAGGATAATCAGAACTTGTAACAATCCAGTGACCTGCTAACAGCTTTGTATTGCCGCTTGGCAGGACGTACTCATTTTATCTTCAGTTTGAATTATAAGGCAGGACAACAAACATGCAGGTCACCCTCATGTTCAGGGGTCAGAAATGCTTTCTGAGTCCTGAGGGGAAATGAATATTCCATCTTTTCCCTACTCCCAAGCTAACAGAATAGGCCAACAGTGATTCAACACCACTACCACCACCAGGGAAGCACAAAATCTCAGCCCAGAGCAGTCCCTCAAATGCTACGCACGGAGCTTCTGGGTTACTGTTAAGTAAAAGCAAAATACACCACAGTATGAATCCTACACAACTACGTGACTCTTCTGGTCTTTAAGGTATCAGTTTCACGATATTTGTTTTGTTTAAATAACAACCATATTCTTTAATTCTCATCAGCTACTGCATTTAAAGTCGACTTTGATTTTGTTTGGATAAAACCCATCATCTCATACACACAAATATAATAGTACATAATGCTATAATCACGGATGTGATAACTTACTGCCTTCTGCACCCAGTTCAAAACAAGACAAGAATAAAGAAAAGACAAAGTTTTCTCTGTTCAGCTGCACATAGCAACCAACAAAAGCTCTTACAACTCATAAAAACATACAAGGTTGCTTTGCATCAGATAGATGTTTAAATGCATCTATATTTAAAAGAAAGAAAAGAGCTTTTTGTTGCAAAATATTTGAGGGTTTTCTTCTGCAAAGAGTAAATTAACTACAAAAGGAAAGAATTTATCACACTGCAATTCTCCAGAAAGCAAAGCAGTTATAATCCAGGGAGCGGCGTGTAAGTACTCTCGACAGAGGCATTAGCTGCTCACTTGAAATCCAGCTGCGTTATCTGCCATCCTTCAAGATGTAGAATACACTTTCTGTTGTTCATGTTTTATCTGAACCAATCCTTCACCACAAAGTCAAAATCAGTAGTCTTATTTTTCTGGAGTGAGCAAAAACATTTAAAGCCCATCAAATTTCTTTCAATTATCTCTTTTAACTGTTGGGTGGTTGGGTTTTTTGTTGGTTGGTTGGTTTTTGTTTTGTTTTGTTTTTTTTTTTTGGTGGTTTTGGTTTTTTTTTCTTTTATACAGCCGATTGCATGAGCCACAAGACATTTTGCTTTTACTTTTTTTTGTTCAGAAAGGCACCATACCTTACTGCCAGCTGAAAGTGTAGATAGTAAAATTAAATATGAGTAAGCATTTCATAATATACTAATTATTACTTTCTTATACCTGCCTGACAGGATTTTTTGAAGCATAATTTCAACCATAGTATCTGTTTCAGAAAATATGCAGGTAGACTAAAATCTACTGGTTAATGATTTGAAAATAGACCACCTCTCTCCCTTCTGCCTCACTGCCTACATCATCCTCACCTGGAGTCCACTGCGTTGGGGATGGGTGAGGTTCAGTTCAGGGCTCCATCCATCCGTTCCCTTTGTTTAACAAGTGAGGTTTCCCAACGTAGGTAAGAGTGCAGACAAGTACGTGCTATGTCTGACTTTATAAAATTTTCCATCCTCTAGAGTTTATAATTCAAGTCAAGGCAGTACTGTTATCATTTCTATCAGTCACATTATGAAAAAATGTTTTAATCTCAAACTACTGCAGTATTACCACACGGAGAAGACTGGGCATTACAGCAGTCCAGCTCATTTGGCATTCTCAGCACGCAGATCTATTTATTCAGAGAAAGGAGATTAAAACCAATCTGATTTGTTCAAAATGTCCTTTTTATTTTTCCCCCTTAATCGTCATTCAGTGAAAAACTGATTTCTCTGGCAATACTATTAATGTGTCTACTGACTGAGTACAGCTGAACTTTATAAAGAAGGAGAATATATATTTAGTAGACCACCACCTACCATTAGAAACAGAAAAAACTTCTGTGTTCACACATTCTTCTCACAACACTAAGGTGCATCTCAAACTGAACACTGCTAGCACTGGATTACAATACAAACTCCTTATGAGTGAAAATAAAGTAGTTAAAAAAATAATCAGAGTTTCATTAAGCTCATTTGATTTGGTATTGTAAACGTTGATAGGGGAGACTCAGTTCTCAAAAATATGAGCCTTTTGAAAAGTTTAACACTACAACCCTTTATCTGGGCCACAATGCAGTTGACAGACCCTATGCTCGCTATAAAGATTAACATTAAAGACGGATAACTCCTGTAAAAAACAGGATGCCAGACTTAAAATCCAAGTCATCAATCTTGAAAAAAAACCCAAAACAAAACATAAAAGAAGTACACTGAAATCCTTCAATTTTTATAAAACTGTAACTGAGGCAGAAGAGCCCTGCTTTGCCACATTAGCGCTTAACTGTATCTGGTCAAGTGACACAGTGAACTCATTTTAAAACTGTATGAACTAGACTGTTGAAGATCACCTCTAAGATTCAACCACCATTCTGCATACGTTGGTTATGACCCATTTTCCCCTCCATTCAATGCAACCCCGAATCACAGGACTATCAAGGAGACATAGCTGAAAACAATCATCAAATAGCAGGGCGCAAGGAACACACACAGTCATGGCCCATTCTTTAAAAACTTTTTTTACCCAGAGTCCTTGCCACAAAGAGCTTATGACCTAAAAAGAACAAAAAGACAGGGAAAGGTTTATAATACACAAACAGCCTTATCAGTATGATGGCAGCAACTGAAACATAAGACAGAATCCAGCTGAGGCAGTGGCAAAGCTTGGTTCCTGTAGGATTATGAACTTCTCAAAGGTTCTGAAGCCAAGGGAAAACCACACACCGAAAACTCTCAAAAAGCTTAGATTCTAATGAGTTTTCTGTTCTCTTTCAGACAATGCCTGGCCTTTTCCAACTGCCTTGTGTCCTATCTGGCTGTTCCTTGACGTCCTCTTTTCCACAGCTTCCATCATGCATCTCTGTGCCATCTCACTAGATCGCTATATTGCGATTAAAAAGCCAATCCAGGCTAGTCAGTACAATTCATGGGCTACAACAATCATCAAAATCATCGTGGTTTGGCTCATTTCAATAGGTATGTGAGATTCGGAGACTGGAAAAGGAATACAGAAGCTTTTCATGGCCAAAACAATAGGTGAAAGATGGGCAAAGTGGAAAATTTGGCCAAGTACTATTGATTAGCAGACCCTAACACCTGGGCTGGCCTAAATCCACCTCTTGGACCATACATAGCTCCATCATAAAAAAGGATTAAGCAGGGATAATAATCACTCTTCTTCATGGTCCCGAACGTCCAAAAATCAGAAGGCAACATCTGCATGCGTAGCATGTTTCCCCGGAAAGCAAGAGTTCATCTTAGTGTGGTAGAATATTCTGTCCCAAACACAATTTTAAGCCTTGAGCAGACGCTACTAAAATCTGTGCCTTACAATTGTTCCATGAAGCAAGTGAAAAATGCTAATTACTTTTATCAAAGATTGAAAGATAAGTGAGTGGCTGGTAACATTCACAATGAAGACTGAGCTGCACTGGCAATATGCCATATAGAAAGGCTAACTTCTAAGGAAAAAACAAACAAACAAAAGCCCCCAAAAATTTATGTAAAGGATGCCAATATATAAACTTTTATGATATTAGCACCTCTGTGCTGCACATCTGGCATCTCACCTGTCTTTAATGCTTAAAAAAATAGATCTGTTAAATGAGCTAAGAAGGTGAAAACATTTAATTCAAATAAGACACTTGTGGGCAGCCAGAGGCATAGTGCTGTATGCTCTGTGTGCAAGGAAACTGTTAGCATGACAAGCCACTACAAGTTGATCTTTTAATGCCTGATTTGTTATTAATCAGTGCTGTACTTTTTCATTTCTTTTTTATCCAACACAAAAGCACTCTGCAGCTGAGCCAGGATTCTCCAAATCAAAGGTTAATTTGGTTCAATCCTCATTTTAAATGTTTGCTGTATCTGAAGGTGTGATCTTACTAAGAAAGGGATCAGCTGAAGGGTAAACCGTTTACCTCTTGCTGCCTTCAACCAACTTCAGTAAGCAGAGTAGCAGAGGAATACAGTAAATCCCTCTATCTCATTAAGTGGTATCAGGAAACATAGCACAAATAACCTTCACCAGACAGCAAGGAACCTGTTGTTTTTGTTGCAGTGTCAGGCTGCTGGCAAATTAAGTGCTGACTGTAATTTAGTGGTTGTAAAAAATTCATTTAAAAGACAAGACTGCTAACATTTTTTTAAAACGAGCGGTGAATTACAGAGCTAGCTAGCCTCATTTAAACACTCTTAAATATGCAAGAGACTTTAAACAACAAATCCATCTCAAACACACACTGCATAATTCTGGCATCTATTTAACTACTTGTATATATGAGAGTCAAGCAGGGTGAAAAAAATCAGCTGTCTGTGTCCAGTCACTTGATGCGGTTAAGATAAGAGGGAAAGACAAGTTTTATGTATTTACAGAACTGCCCTTCAAAAAGTGCAAAGGTTACCGTGGAGAAAAAAAAAGCATTAGGGAAACACATTTCACAGAGGAAAAGCCGTACCAATTCTAACAAGTAGAGTCAAAGCAATTAATGTCTTTTACACTTGAGAAGTTGGCAACTTTATAACTCTTCCTCAACACTAAGGGTTAGGCCCAATCTCCTTAGAAGGGGCACTGTTAGAGCTGAGCTTGCCAAGTCTCACAAAGTACTATTTGCCCAACCACCCACGTGATACTCTCAACAATTCACGTTCTCTCATCATCCTGTGCTTGCTGCAGAGCTCAGGAACTACCTTTCCTTAGAAACGCCAAGGCTTCAGGCCCAAAAAGGAGATGGCAAGCAATTACCATATGCTGAAGTACTTGGTTTTTCTCCTATAGGCATTGCTATTCCAATCCCTATCAGAGGCATTGAAGATGGAAATGGCAACTCTACAAACATCACCTGTGTCCTGATGCCTGATCGTTTTCATGACTTCATTCTGTACGGATCAGTGGCTGCGTTCTTCATTCCCCTCGCTATCATGATAGTCACTTATTTTCTGACAATCCAAGTGCTTCGCAAGAAGGCCTACTTGATTAACAAGCCACCTCAGCGTTTCACTTGGTCAACAGTGTCTACAGTATTTCAGCGTGACACAACACCTGCCTCCTCACCAGAAAAGGTGGCTATGCTAAATGGTTCCAGAAAGGACAAGACTTTGTCCAATGATATGCTTATTTGCAGAACATCTACGATTGGCAGGAAGTCCATGCAAACGATAACCAACGAACAAAGGGCGTCAAAAGTTCTGGGGATTGTATTTTTCCTTTTCTTGTTGATGTGGTGCCCATTCTTCATAACAAACATAAGTTCAGTTCTGTGCAACTCCTGCAACAAGGAAATTTTTCAAAAGCTTATGGAGATATTTGTTTGGATAGGATATGTGTCCTCAGGAGTGAACCCTCTTGTCTATACACTCTTCAACAAAACATTTAGGGAGGCTTTCAGCAGGTATATCACTTGCAACTATCGGACCACAAAGCCTATCAAGGCCCTTCGGAAGCGCTCCAGCAGGATCTCTTTCAGAAGTTCTGTGGCAGAAAATTCCAAGCTTTTTGTCATGCATGGGATGAGAAATGGGATTAACCCCATTATGTACCAGAGCCCAATGAGGCTGAGGAGTTCACCCATCCAAGCATCATCGGCCATTCTGCTGGATACATTGCTGCTCACAGAGAATGAAGTTGATAAAACAGAAGAACAAGTCAGCTACGTATAGTGGAATGGCAGCCGTGTCCATATCATAGTATTACTGTATGTATTATTCTAGGTAACTGTGCTATAAGAGGGTATAAATACTATTGTTTTCTGTTATTTATGCAAGCAATAGCGTATAAATTTATATTAATTTCTCTCCTCCAAAGTCTCCTCTACTTTAACTCCAAGCCCATGGTGGCAACCACAACTTCATTCCATGAAAAATGACTAATGCAGAACTGTAGCCTACAGGAAGAGGGAAATAAATAAAAGCTAAATCAGTTTGAGTATCTGACTTCAGTTCTCATCAAAGTACATTTTTATAAAAAAACGTATCTCTGTACAAACACTACTTTAACATTCACTCTGGCAAGAAGACAGAACACTCTGTAGGTTGATGCTCTACGGTGAAATTAGCAGGGGTACAAGCTCCCTGGTTTAAATTTAAATCCACCTTTACTCTGTGCAAACAAAACAGCACACGAGCTCACTGCATTGCCTCCTACAGCTACACTCCTCTGCTGAGACTGCGTATCCAAATGTGCACTTCTCTTGTTCTCTGTGGGTATGTACATCACAAGCAAAACCACTTGCTCCAGAGACCAAAAGGTGAACGTGCCCATTCCATAAGTATAAACCTGGTTCTTAGCAGAGTGAGAAAAAATTCCATGTGCTGAAATTATCCCTTTGTGGTTTTACGGGGGG